GACTGGCGGGTCCGCGCTCCGGCGCCGGGCGGGGTCCGCAGCCAGCCCCACCCACCGCTCCTCGCCCGCTGACGTCACTTCTCCCCGCACCTTTGAAAACCAGAAGGCAGCCTCAACGCACTTCCGGCTGCGGGGACCGCTGTCGAATCCTACTGGCTCCCGCGGCATTGTCCTTCTCTCGGAGCCAATGGGATGCGGCTTCCTGCCCATCGGCTTCCGGGTCGCCTTGCGGATGGAACAGGAAGGGGAGACATTAGCCGGTTGGGTTTTTTTTTTTCTGCGCAGGCGCCAGGGGAAGTACTTCCGGTCTGTGGAAGTCACTTCCTGTTACCAAGATGAGAATTCTAAGGAAGTATTCCCGCGCCCCCGAGGGTCCACGTGGCTCTGGGGATCTCCATGGACGATGTCTCTTGGCTCCTGGACACAGAATTTCCTTTGGAGCTAGCTCACAGTTTGCCAGTTCTACAAAGGGTTAGAATGACAGCAGGCACCGCTGCCTTCAGTACAAAATGAAAAACTACCTTCTTTGACTTAACTGATTCACAACAGAACAACCTAACAATGACCTAGAAAATGGGGGAAACGTGCTTTTAATGCATTTTTTAAAAAATTGGTAAGCATGCAAGTGCCCCATTGATGAGTACAGGATATGGCAGACAGATTAGATTAGATCAGTAGTTCTCAAAATCAACATAGTTATTTTTCATACAATGACATCTTGGAACCAGCCTTAGGTAGGGTCACCACATTTTCAAAATGCAAAAGCAGAACACTGAGCCTCCCTGCTTTGCTCTGCTCTCCTGTACCGGGTCCCACCTACTGCGCCACGGAGGCCCTGGCGGAAGGACAGCAGGGCAGGGAGCCCCAAGCCCACAGTGGGCAGGCCACATCCACCCTTGCCCTGCACAGAAGTCTGGGGTGGGGCACATGCTCCCCCGTGCCCTCTTCATGGGAGTGCATGAAGCAGAGGGGAGCCAGCCCCACCACCAGCCTCTGAACAAGCCGCTTGTGGCACCATTCCACTCCCCAGCCAGGCCCCATGGCTGCACATTCCTGCCCTGGCCCCAGGCCCCATGTGGTGCCCCAGCTGGGCAGTAGCTCCTGTCCCAGCTGCCAACTCTACCTCACTTTCTCCCTCACTGTGGGGACTTCAGTCTGCCCCCCTGTTGCTCCCTGCATCACGTATGCCCCCTCCCCCCGCCATAGACTTATCTGTAGAGAGCTGGGGAAGCTCCTCTCCACTGCTGCCTGCCTGTATTGCTGGCCCATATGCATGTGTGCATGTGTACACATGCATGTGGTGCCCCATGTCCTGTTCTCCTCTACTTCAAGCAGTGAACAGAAAACCCAGATCCCTGCATGTGATACTGGGACAATAGTTTCTATGGTTTGACTGTGTCAAGGGGAATCTGGGACCAATGCTGTGCCGGAGTCATTCAGCCTGAGGACCAGGATTTGATCTTTACCCTGAGGCCTTTTCCCCACTCCTCTAGCAAGGCCACCCTCTCATTTAGCCATATTGGGAGGGTAGGATATACTTAACCTCTGACACCTGTTTGTAGCTCCTGGTTAGAAGACCCAGGTCACTGTGCACTGGAGAAACATTTGGAGTGAAGTACTTTATTTTTAAGAGGTTTAACTTCTCAGAGGAGAAATAAAGAGAATGGTTACCATTTAAGTGTTATAGAAAAATATGTTAGGATGGTCACTGCTAAAATGTTATTAAAACATGCTGGGAAGGATATATTTTAAAGGTCTTCTACATTGTATCCTAACCCTACAGCCCAAGCAATGTAAGGAAGGAGCACAGTGGAACAAGAAGGATGGGCTTCCCTGCCCCTTTGTGGAAGCTAAATAGAAGAGAATGGAACAAATTTATAACCAAAACTGCTTGAGGTGATTGATACCTAACTGCCTGCCAATAGAGAACAGTTTTGTGAAAAGGTAATTATTTAATGGATCCAAAAGCAGTATTGCCACTCTACTCAGTTAAAAGCTTTTTCTGTATTGAGAGATATCACTGAATGACATTTGGTCTCCAAATGGGTTGAAAGAACTAGATTAACAAACTCTGGATAAAATATATGCAGTGGTGTCCAGGTATAAGTTCTACTTGACCTCTGTAAATAAGTTTTAATTATGTCACAACAGATTGCTGAAATTTTGGTTAATACTTTGAACCAATATTTCAGAAGCTTGTCTATAATTTGAAGCCGTCTCTATTAAGGGTTAACTATAACTATATTCCTCCATACAAAGGGAAGGGGGTGGTTTTCAAGAAATGGTACCACAAAGTATAATACTTTGTTGGCCAAGAGACTGAACAACTTATATTTATTTATTTTTCTATAAGAAATTTGCAAAATTAAATTAGGAACTGGTCTTGGTCATCACTTTTACTCTGTGGTAAAGTTTTGTGAGCTGTTCTGATGTGCTTTACAGTTTGTTTCTGTTTCCAAGGAGATTTTATCTGTCTTGGTGTGAGAGGTATAGCCAGTAAACTTTATGTCATTGTACATGTGCACTTAAACCCTTGAGATGTTAACTGTTTGGACTGGACAGTTTGGTCTTCAGTGTGGCCCACTCATGTGGGCTGGCCCTCTCTTTGTCTGCCACGCCTTGCTCTTGAATGTCAATGGGAGGGTTCTTGGTCATTAACAGCAACCTGCACAAGCTGCCCATGAGGAAAACGTATGGGGCTCCACATCACCTCACACCCCTTCCACATGCTGAACCAGTGTTATCTTGGTGTCTAGTTTCCAATCCATGGGGTACTGTGTTCCCTGAGCCTTAATTTACTGGCCAAGCAACAAAATCAATTAGCCTCTTCAGGTTCAGCAGCTGCTCATTAGGTAAATCCTTCCATCCAATTAATTTTACCCACAAGTTCTTATATAAATGAATTAGTCCCCTAGCATCTTGGGTCATTCTCTAAGTAAATCAGTGAGTCTGATCAGTTTTCCCCACGGTCCCTTAATAAATCAATTAGGCCAATTAACTTTTCAGCAGTTAATTCAAAGAACCAGTTAAGCCAATTAATTCTTCGGCAATTCAATAAATAAATCAGTTAAGCCAACTAATTATTTGGCAGTTCAGTAAATAAATCAGATTTAATCAGTCACTCATGTTCTCCTAACTCGTTCAAAGTTCAAGTCCATTATCCTACCACGCAGTGCTGTGGCGAGTGGGGTGAATGCCAGATTGTTGCTGGAGTTGGTCATGCCAGTCCCAGATAGATTCTCTGGGGACCCTATTTTGCACATGTCAGAAGCTGTTGTTATTATAATCATAACAATCATTATTATTATTCCATTTAAAACAAAAGCATGACCTATAAATCGGGCAATGGCATAAGCTGTGTCCCCTGGACATTTTACAATTCTGCCATTTCAATAAGGTAGACATTTCCATGCATTAAATAAAAAAATCTTATAATTTTGCAGGAACTGTGATGGATGATAATGATGCTGAAGAAATTGTATTACAGCCCTGATTCAGTAAGGTACTCAGCCAGTATTAAACCAACGGGACTGTACACATGCTTATATACATGTTTGTTGAATGAAAGACTGTGAATACAAAAGCAGGTTTGGAGCAGAGGAACAGGCACAGTTTTAGAAACTTTTTGGAAAGTTTCTTAACCTAATTTGCAAGACATTTTAAGTTAAGCCCTTAAAGCTGATATGTAAACTCTTTAATATTTTAAAATATTTTTAAATATGTCATTAAAAACTGGCAAAGAAAATAACCAGTTGTACTGACTATTGTAAAACTATTTATAAAAATGAGTGAACACCAGCAAAAATCAAGCAATACCCTGGGACTGTGTCCAGTAAAAACTAATGTCCAACCAAATATTGAATGCTTGTGACAAATGACTTGAGAGGCATTTACAGACAACACAACTATTCATGGAATGACTCTAACAAAAACATTTGAGAAAAATGCGTGGTTTGCTGGGGACACTTCATGAACATAAACCAAGCACCATTTTTTGAATAAAATATTAAGTAGAAAGAATTTTCCCATTTCAATAAAAAAGCTATTTACACATGATCTCCCAGACAAGGCCCCAGAGCTCTTGTTTACCATTCTTTGGTTCCAGCTGGGTAATTCCTTGCAGAGATTATGTTAGTTCTCTAGTCCTGGTCAGTTTTCCTTTCTTCGAATTTTCTTCTGTGTGTCCATACTTTAGATTTATTTCTATAGGATCATCTACATTATCTAGTGAGAAAAGAGAGGAAAAAAGGTAAAATTCATAAAATTTCTAGAGCTCTATGAGCTGCGACATTTCGGGATGACCATTTGCAGATGAAATGATAGAGCATGTGAACAAAAAATCTTTACATTTATAGGTAAAACATGAATGATATGGAAATTAGGAACTCTAGAGGTTCAAGGTTGCCTCTGGTGTTCAGAAGTCACTTCTCCATGTGGGATGGGAGCAATAGGTCTATATCACAGGATTTGTGGAGGATTAGTTGGTGAATGTTGTTACACTTCTATCTGTAAAGTGTAAACAGATAATGTACATCCCTACTGGGGCACTGATGTGGAGGAATGGGAAAATAATTCTACCTGAACACACAAATTAATATGAAAATGCCTACGAATATCTTGTCGATTGCTGCATATTTGATAAATACAATATCTATGCTAACCATTAGAGCACAATGTTATAGTTAAAGAGCAATTGTACTTGTATTTCTGGGAGGAATTACTCCTTGTGCAGAGGGGTCACAGAGACTATACAATAAACTCTGGCAAATTTGGCATTCTAAAGAGAATGAAGATGTTAAATTATCCAGCAGTGACCAGTTATCAGGAGTTGATGGAGGGGCGATGGTGTAAGGGGGAAGGGTACTGGC